TGGTATGGCAAAGAACTGGATACCAACAAAAAGACAACAAAACCAAGTGGTTACTCTGTTATGCTGAATGGGATGATTCATTATAGTAAAAAACCATGCAAGACAAGACTATATAAAGCACAAACAACAACAAAAAAACAACCTTTTTTTCTTCAAACACCTTACAAATGAAAAAATATTTTGTATTTACACGAGTTTAAACATTATGCCATAGCATTGAGAATTATTTTTATGGGATAGGAATTTAGGCTATATGTATAGATATATACCTATACATTCAAATAGATATAGATGCATGACATAATTAAGGCAGATGCATTCTAGCCAGGAACAGCTTTCTCAGACCTTGTAACACTACCCACAAGAATACTCAGAACTTGAAAATCAATAGTATGCTGCTCTGAACGAAGAAGTTGTCGGTGCCCCATTACTGGATGTGTTCATGACTTCAGGCTGCAGTTGCTACATATATATACACATTTCTACACTGAGTATGTTATGCTCTATTTCATTTTCTATATTACCTGAAAGACATTATCATGTTACTGATAAACTTAGTGGACATTAGATCAAGGAGGACATGATTACTAGGTCAGTATCAAAGTACCACGTCCAGTTTAGGGCAAAATTTTAGCAAGTTTTTCAAATGACACCTGCAGAGGACATTTCCATTTAAACTTATAGATTTGTGTATCTCATTTAGGAAAAGGAATCTATGCTCAAGATAATCGCTCAATTGCATTTTTAAATGGTTGTATAATTATTTCAATATATGGTCCCAACTCAGAGAAACACACATGCACTCTTTCACAGCCAAGCAAAAGAGATGAAAAGGGGAACAGAAAACAAATAAAATACACAAATCTGCATAATAAAGAAGAGGAAGATGTATTCAGGGCATTCATGGCTGCACAATATAAGAAATAGAAGAAAATATAAGATACATAAGCAATATGAGGAAAAAACCCAAGAAAAAGACATTCCATTAGCATGATGCAAAAACCTCTGACAGTAAAACGTGTGCACAGATGTGTATGTATGCATAGCCACCCACACAGAATGATAAATACACTCAGTTTTATTTAGATGTAAGCTAATAATGAAATATGGAATATGGAAGTAAATGCTGTTACATTAATTACATTTTACAAGGATCATGTAGCGATAGGACAAGGGAGAAGGGCTTTGAACTGACAGAGGGTATGCTGTGAACTTACATATGTAAACACAAGTAAGAACTTGTAACTACAGGATAATTGGACATAAATGTGTTCAGTCGCAGCTCTGAGTCCCAGCTCTAAATAATAATTAAAATGGTCCTGAGGGTATTGTTACTTCAGATATCTTTGAACTTACCTAACATGTTTAAAGGTATTTTCATGCCATCGAAGAACCAAAAATGTGAGCACCAAACACTCTTTAGAGTAAAATATGAAAGTGCATAAACAGCAATCACCCAGTATCTGTGGGAAAAAAGGACACAATCAAAACGAACACAAAAAGCTCATTACACACAATTTTCTCTTTAATTATCTATGCAATTAAATCAATAGCTACTACAATTCAGATTAAATAACATAATGTTGTCATTCAGAAATGTAAGGGCTGGTAAGAATATTAAAAGGCTAGATAAACTCTGATCTGATCCAGTAGGGCTGTTCTTATGTTGTCATTAAAGGTAACATGACCTGAACTATTAAGTTTACACACAATACAAAACGGGCAGCCATTGCTCTCAAAATTCAGTATAGCTTCTCTGGCTCTAATTTAATTAGGAAATTAAATGATTGCTTTAGGGCTTATTTTTTACCTCATTCTGTATGAAAGCAGCATGCAATCCAACTTCTTTTTCTTCAGTAGAAGGTAACATGACTGATTTATCAGGTAAAATTTGTGTCCAACGCCCAGAAGAAGAGTTTTTATAAGAGGATGTATTTTCATGTTCTGTGCTCTCCCACAAAAAGACACATGCTGTAGGAGTAGTTAATAGTGCCTTTCTGCCATCTCCAGATACATACAAGTACAACCTCATTAAACACTCTGGGGAAAAAAAAAACAAAACCAAAAAAACAACAAACAAAACCATGTTACAATAGTTTCTGTTCCTTTGTTAGACATAGAATGAAAAACAATAGAGAAAGGAAATTTCTTTTCTTGTCTATCCCAAGAAATTCAAGCTGCCACCTTAAGTATCTTCCATTTCCAGCTTCACCAGTGATAGCAGACCTTGGGCAGCTATGTCAGAAGGGATGTCCATTTTTCTGCACGTTATGAATTATCTTTCCCATCAGACCCAATCATCAGAGATGTTTCCTGAGATTGCCTTTCTTGAAACCCAACTTTCATGAAAAGAAGCAACAAATGTGTAAGTGCTCTACTATGTATTACCTTTAGCTCCTAATTGCACCACTAATCTTCCCTGAAATGGTAGAATTGCTTGTACAATACTTCACTTCACAAGCTGGTGTCAGTGATATTTCCAATACATGATAATATTTGATACTTAAGTTTGCAAATATGTGCCTTTATTTTGTTGTCTCCAGCTAGCATTTGTCATAAAATCCCACTTACAGAACAGCTTCAAGTTATCCATATGCTGTTTACATCAGATGTACATCTGCTCTAAAGTATTAATAACCTAGTCAGGAACCGAACAGCTAAATCTAACGATTAAAAAATACACTTACAGCTTTTGAAAATTAATTACTACTTAAAGGGGATTACTAAACACAAATTCAAATGACAAAAAGGACACTTGCCAAAGTTGAGCTAGCTTACAAATTATACACATGCAAAACAATGGGAAAATATAGCTTTACTCATGAAATAAGATTTAAGGAAAAGAAAACAACTTTCCCTCTATTCCATTTTTCACAGGATTAATTGAAAAATATCTACCTTGTGCTGCTGCCACTACTTTCCTGGACTCTTCAATTGCTGGCACAATTTTCAAACAGTCCTGATCTTTATTCCAAAGAAAGAGCTCTCCTGTTGTAAGTATTCCTGCCAACCAAGCAGCTGTGTTCATTGGGGGAGAGAAGTTTTGAAGGATATTATTATGAAGTACTTAAATTACTGCTCTTCCATCTTAGCCACAGTTCTAAAGTTGACAGTAAACTGGCAAATCCTTTAGATATTCTTTCTAGACCGTTACAAATACAAATAAATAACATGAACTTATAATACATGAGATATTATACTTAACCGTTTCCTGATATTGTTAAGACAACCACATTTTTCAACAATGACTGCAGCTGAGGGATTTTCTTCCTTGTCTTTCCTGATACCAGGTTAATTTCATTTATATGTTTACCATCTAGAAGAAAAATAGCCTCTTTTTCCTGTTAAAAGAATAAAAGAGCATTCAATTTTTTAAAATATTATTTTCTACACAAGTCTGCAAAATAATGCAGACATAAAAAATGTTACAGTAAATAATAAAAAAAAATTTGTTAAGAGCTGCAATTGCCATAATAACTTCATTCTTCGGCATACCTGCTTTACGGTACAACATCATATCTAGCATTAACCTACAGATGAATTTGATTCACAGGTTTCAAACTACCAAGCTAATTTTACAGTCATTATTAAAAACTTCTTAAAAGTAACTCTATGTGCTAAAAAGATAACAAAAATTGGACGCAATCTATCTTGTCTTGTAGTGTTTAATTTAGTGTTTAATTTGTCAGTGATTCCAATGAAAAAAAAAAAAGAATTGGCCTCAAATTACTACCTACTTAAATTCCAATCACAGATGAGAAAAAAAAATTACTCTTGTTTTATTGAAAAAGTCTAAGAAAGCATGTCTTTCAACAAATGCAGGATGCAATAGGGAAAAAGAAATTGTTCACGTTTCCCACAACATTCTGTAAAAAGTTATGAAAAACTAGAACCACCAAAACAACAATCTCATATAAGCGACAGGTAGGTCTTTTGTGAAGGAAAACAAAAAAAAAGGCTCCGCATTGTTTCTCTGAGAAATCTTGAATCTCTAAGCTCATGTCAATAGGATAAAAACCCAAGCCATTTATTTTAATAACTCTTAATATGCATTCAAATCACTTCCTGAGGCTTTTTTTACCTAAACCCTCCTCAAGTAAGTGGAAGTACAAAGTATTATATAATTAGAAACCCTACTCTTAACAGAATTTTATTTAAATGGAAGTTCATTACACTTACTTGTCCAACCCACGAGATGCGAGGCCACGGTTTTCTTTGCTTGATAGATGTAGAGATGAGCACATCGAGCTTAATCTCCATTCTTATTGAGCCTCTAGATAACCATTATACAGAAAAGGCAAATAGTGGCTCTTTCACACATTCATAAAGAATCTGAAGAAAGGAAAAACAAGCAAACAAAAAAGGACCAGAAGTTTCTGTTATATTGGGGTGGGAGCAGGAACCCAGGCGCAAACTCTTGACTACAGCAGCTTCCCGCTGAACACTAACAGAGGTGATGCTTACCCGTATTTCAAAACTCTATTTTCGCTTTGACCGCTTACGGGTGATGTGCTGTTCAGCCGCGAGGGTTATTCCACAGTCGTTCAGGTGTTGAGAGAGAGAAGCCGCAAGACAAAGTACATTGCTAAGAACTCTAAAAACACAGAAAACGGGGAAAACGCCTCGCAGCCTCCTAGTGCAGGGGATCAGGAATGCCAGTGGCTGGGACGCCCCTGGGAGGGCCGACCCGGAGCGGGGCCAGCCGCTCACCCGCGCCGGGGGACGAGAGGGCGGCACCAGCTGCCCTCACCGCCTCCGGGCGCCATCCTCGGGAACTCGCCCTGTTTGTCCGAGCTCCTCCCTCGGGAAACGAACAGCGGGAGGAGCGGCGGCCCAAAGCGATGCTCACTCGGCACAACTGCCGGAGCCGCAGCGCTGGGAGAGCCCCGACCTGGCGGCTCCGGCCCCGCTCCGGCTCCGGCTCCAGCCCCGCCCGCAGCCCCAGCCCGCGCTCTGCCCCACTCCCCCCGCGCCGCCGCAACCGCCGGGGCCGGGCCAGAGCAGGGCGCAGCCGCAGCGCCGCCCCAGCACTGCCCCCGCCCGGGTGGCTCCGGAGGGATGGTCCCGGGGGGAGGGTCCCGCCGCACAAGGGCGGATCTTCCTCTGCCTCCCAGAGCCAGGTTCCGCGTACAACCGCCGGCTACCCCCTCACTTCTGAGCCCGCCGGCTTGGCAAACCGGATGGGAGCCTCGCTCGCAGCCTAGAAAGCCAACCGCATCCCGAGCTCCATCCAAAGCAGCGCAGCCACCAGGACGACATAGGTGATTCTGCGCCTCTAATCTGCTCTGGTGAGACCCCACCTGTAGCATTGCGTCCAGCTCTGGGATTCCCAACACAGGAAGGACGTACACCCGTTAGAGCGGGTGCAGAGCAGGGCAGCGATGATCAGGTGGCCGGAGCACCTCTCCTATGAAGGCAGACTGCGGTTGTCCAGCCTGGAGAAGGCTCTGGAGAGACCTCATTGTGGCCTTTCAGTAATAAACAGGAGCTTAAAAACAAGGGGGGGGGGGGGGGGGGAACTTTTTACAAGGGTGGATAGTGACAGGACAAGGGAGAACGGTTTTAAATAAAAAGAGAAAAATTTTAGATTACATGTTACAAAGAAACGCTTTGAGGGTGGAGAGGAACTGGCACAGGTTACCCAGAGGAGTTGTGGCTGCCCCATTGCTGGAAACATTCAAGGCCAAATTGGACGGGGCTTTGAGAAACCTGGTCTAGTTGAAGATGTCCCTGCCCATGGCAGGGGGGTTGAACTATTTGACCTCTAAGGTCCCTTCAACACAAACCATTCTGTGATCCTAAAAAGACTGTGGGGTGTGGGAGTGAGAAAGTGGCTGATACTTACTTGCCAGCTGAGGTTAAACCATGACAACGTGAAATACAAGTTCTGTGAGCAGTCACTTTGTTTCATCACTTTGAAGAAATGTGTTTGATTCCCTTAGAGCAGCTATTCTTTCACACTGCCTTGTTTCTACCTTCTGCTACCTTTCCTTAATCACAGTCTTGATTGAGAATTAGTAACACTAACACAGAAGGAAAACAGTCCAATAAAAGTAATGATACATTTGTTCATAATGTTAATGACAACTGGTTCACATTCATGTTAGTCAGTTACTTCCCTCTAATTGTCACTATTTATTTAATCTACCACATTAACCCACCCGTCTCCTCTGATCTTAGTTTTTCACATCCCTCCAGATTTAAAATGGGAAACAGAACCTACCCTTTCTCCATCTGAAAGCTGAGCAAGTGTTATGAAAACAACAGGTAATGTCTACACTGCAATTACCTCCTGTCATGTGAAAAATACCAGAGGTAACTTGTGATACACTTTGAAATACTCTTACTTTGATAAACTTGTGATGTTGCCAGAGGCATCCTTATTTTATGAACGAGAGAAAAATACCCCAGAAGTTGAACCTCCAGTCTGTGACTTGTGACTGTTCCCAATTCTTCAGTTAATTCTCCAGATCTGAGAATAGAAATCTGCTTACATTTATTACAGAATAACAACATACTTTCATATAAATGTTAAAATTTAGTCAAATACATCAGGCAAGACTGTGGACATCATTTGTATGAAGCAAAGTGCACTAACTTGACCAGCGTAAATCCATATCCCTTGTTGTGAAACAAAGCTATCAGCAGAAAGTAACTTCTAATCTCTAAAGATAGTATATTTTACATGGAAAGATGCAAATCTTTTTCCCAGGACACACAGGATTTCCTCTATGTAAATACTTCGTAAGGAGATTTTAACACCACCAAAGGAAAAAGCTAATAGTAATATTTCACATTTATTTTGATCCAAAGAGGTAAAAAAAAATGCATTTTAATTTATATATTACTTCCCTATGTGTATTCTTTGGCTTAAAATCATCAGAATGTATCTGTTAGGTCAGAGTGACAGAAATGTACTCTAAGTAAAGTAGAGTAATTAGATCTTGTAGAAAAGGCTCTGTAGAGCACTCATTTATCATGTGAGGAGCAGAGGGATTGATGCCCACATTCTCCAGCACTTTTCATTTCCCCTCTTCTGGACTCAAGGCCCTTTGGTGGGGGTCCCATATCCTCTAGAGCCACCAGGAGGAACAGAGTGGAGCAGTGGAAGTGTGCTGAGCCCATAACACAGTGGTCAATGGATTAAAACCATCCTCTGCTAATAGATTGTTTGTCTTTCATAAGGCACAAGAGCTAGCAGTCCCCAAAAGCAAGAAGTTGGACAAGAAATCAGCATGGCAGAGTAGGGAACTGGTGCTAAGACTAAAGGCAATGAAGCAAATGCACAATCATTGGAAACCAGGACAGGGCACCTGGGAAGAGTATAGAGATGAAGTACGGCTGTGTAGGAATGAGGTGAGGATGGCCAAGGAGAAGCTGGAACTGAACATTGTCAAAGGATGCAAAGAATATTAGAAAGGGTTTCTACAGGTATGTGAACCCATGAGGTGCATCACAGAGTCCTGAGGAAATTGGCTGTAGTTCCCAAGCCGCTCTTCATGATATTTGAAAGGTCATGGTCGGCAGGGGAAGTCCCAGGCACTGGAAAAAGGCAAACATTGTTCCCGTCTTTAAAAAGCGTAGAAAGGATGATTCTGGGAACTACTGACCTGTCAGCCTCACCTCTGTGCCTGGGATAATCACAGAACAGATCCTCCCAGAAGCTATGCTAAGGTACAGGGAGAACAGGGAGGTGATTCAGAAAAGCCAGCACGGCTTCACCAACCCAGTGACCTTTTGTGATGGTGACTGCATCAGTGGACAAGGAAAGGCCTACAGATGTCAGTTATCTGGACTTCTGTAAAGCCTTTGACATGGTCCCCCACAGCAGCCTTCTCTCTAAATTGGAAAGATGGATTTGATGGGTGGGCTGTGAGATGGGTAAGAAATGGTTGGATGTTACACCCAGAGGGCAGTACTAGGTCAGTGGCTCAGAGTCCCAAAGGACATCAGTGAGAAGTGACAACCCTCACGGGTCTGTGTTGGGACCAGTGTTATTTAGTACTTTAGCAATGACAAGGACAAAGGGATTGAGTGCACCCTCAGTAAATCTTGAGGTGAGTGGTGCTGTTGACACACCTGAAGGATGGGATGCCATCAAGAAGGGCCTGGACAATCTTGAGAACTGGGACCATGAGAATCTCATAAGGTTTAACAAGGCCGAGTGCAAGGTGCTGGACCCTGGTCAGAGCAACTCCCAGTATAAGCACAAGGCTGAGGGATGAACAGATTGAGAGCACTGGAGAGAAGGACTTGTGGGTGGTGGTAGAGGAGAGGCTGGACATGACCTAGCCATGTGCGCTCACAGCCCAGAAAGCCAAACATGTCCTGGGCTACAGGACATGGGCAGCAGGTCAAGTGAGGGGAGTCTAGGAATATACACAATTTGGTGTTCGTGTGCACGTAAGGAAAGCAGACAGAAGTCATTTCATGACTTCTTTATTTGATTTTAACAGATACAACATTTTATTAGAATGGGATAGGGAAAATAATTTGATGAACAATATTAAAAGTTCTTTCACTAACAATACAAATTAGATTGCCAATTTCTGCAGCTTCATCCCAAACATTCTATTTAGAGAGGCAGGTTGTATTTAAAGTGACAGTTATGAAATAATGATTATCTTTGTTATTGCAGTTAGGGTTGCATCATTACTCCTCTGTATGACCACATTTACAACCTGACTCATCTACGTACACTTTTATCATCATTCTGCAGTTGTCATTTCTTGTTTTGATAATTCTAAAACAGCTATCACGTAGATTTTGCATCCTGATTTTCCTCATTACTTTAAGTAAAATAAAAACATTTTCTAAATATTCTTATCCCCAAGGCAAAGATCAAACAATGAATTTTATTTCAACATTAAAAAAAAGCTTTGTCTTGTTAAAAAAATGGTAGTAGTAAAAGAAACTCCATTTGTTACATTTACATTCTACAATTTGTAGATACCTTTAGAATAGAATGAATACATAATAGAAAACTGCAGCAGGAGAAACAACTTCCTCAGGATTTTTTTCTGAGGATTTGTTCTTTCAGAGATTCAGTGCAGTTTACATTACCTGCACTAACGATTCTGTTACTGCACTAGTCAATCAGGGAAGTCGTTCTAACTTGGCCTGTAGAGATTTAAAATTCCCAACAGTTGTCTGAACCATTAGTGTCGGACTCATAGACTGAAGTTCAACCAGGTAGCAACTGACAGCATCCAAGCAAACATTTGTGAATCTCCGCCTGTTAGGAAAACACAGAATAATAAGGTCCTTTTTGATCCTGTATATTAGAATTAACTTGAAATAGAAAGTGAGCATTCTTTCAGTTTCAATGGAATAACATCAGGAAGACATCTGTCAGCTACTTTTAGTTTTCAACTATTTATTACAAAAAATTATTTTTGAAATCTAATGCTTGTGACTACGGTATAATGGGAAAATAAATGAACCATTACTTCTTATTGGATATTAAATATAAACTATAAAACACAATACAGTTATTAGCAATGCAAAATATTTAATATTTAGATACTACTTTAGATATGAATACAGTCAATGTATTAGTTATTAATTTAGATAGCAATTTAAATTAGAATCAATTCTCAATTTAGGTATTCTAATAAGTTACTGTATTTAAATTGGCAAATAGAAGACTGATCAAGTGAGAAAAGATAGAGGTAAACTGTATGTGGACAGGGATATTTACATGTATGTTTTCAAAAGAATAAGAAATATTTATGTTTAGAAGATTTATGAAGACTGCCTAGTTCTGCTCATTATTTTTGAGACAAGATAGCTGTGACTGAAGCTCAAACTGAATTTTGCCTATTCAAATAAAAATTGTCAAAGCTAGAGATGATATACAGGCAACTTATTCAAGTACTTAGCTATTTTTTCACTGGAAATTTTTTTTAACATTACACCCACATTTTTGCCTGGTGTGAACTAAGCTGAATTTTAGTCTTGGACACTGCTTCATCATCAACCTCTTAAAAACAATTTGGAAAGATCTATCTCAGTGTTTAGTCTTCTCTTTTCCAGAACAACTCAAAACTTCTAGAATTTCAACATGAAAAAGTTCATTTTTTAGTCACAATATGCCCTTTTCTAATTCTCCTTCCACTTTTCCCACATTGCCTCACATTTTTCCGTAATACTCCTTGAAGTATGTTGCCAAAAATTTACAAAATAATCCTCTCAATTCCTCATGGATCTTCAGTGAAGTGAAGAAAATTAACTTTGTTGTAGCAGTTTATATGGAGAACACTAAAAGTTTCTAACAAATGGTTTTGAATGAAGAGTGTCAGTGCCAGTAAAACTGCTAGGAATAAAATACTAAATTCACCCAAAAGAAAAGAAGAAAAGCTTTGGGGATTGTTGAAATGCAGTATTTTAGAGTATTTTATATCTTCCATTTTTTATTAGGATATAGTTGCCATTCTTACCTCATAGCTACTCTGCTTGGATCCTGTACATATCCTGATAGTAATACATGAATACATTCTAAGAGGTGTAAAGGCTTTTTCATTCTATTCCAATATGGGTCCTAAAAAAAAATATCCGAAATATTAAGGATAAAAATAGTAAGGACACAAGAAAAAAAAAATTGTGTGGTGTGTACACAAAGTGCCAGCTGTGGTAATTATTTATCTTAATCTACATTATATCTATATTAAAGTAATATTTTAAGCACTAAAACATACATGAATTTAACTCAGTTTTCCATTACTAAACAGTCCATAACATAATAGATTATAAAAAGTTCTGAATTCCTAGGAATCTGGGTAAAAAGAAGCCAATCAATTCTCTGTTTATTACATCAATGGATCAGACAAGCTGTAGTAATACAGCAAATTTTAATCATTATTAGAAAACAAAATTAATATGTTCAATAGATGCTATTCCTTCTGCAACGTAAGAATTCTATTTCATCCTAAATCTGCTCTAGGTGGAGTAAAAGAACTAAAAAATTTCCTCATGCTCTAGGATTGACACGAATAAAACAAACAGGGAGGGGAAAATGCAGCTTTAAGAGTCTTTAAATAAAGAAAACAAAATTATGAACATGATATTTGACCATATTCCACCTTACATTACTTTATGTTTCCCACTAAAGACAGACCTTGATAGTAGCTGAAAACAGAATTTCTCTTTTGTGCTATCTTCCTTACCCGTGCTTTAAACAGTTGGTCATATACTTCAAGCAGCCTTTGCAATGGGACTCCAATTTCTTGCATGGTGTATGTTACAAAACCTACATCCCAGTTCAAAGAGCAGACCTGTTGTTCTAGAAACTGCACTAAAAAATCTGGAGGACAAAAAGAAAGGGAATATTTAGATTGCAACTTTTTAATGGGAGTCTTTCAAAGAAAGGCATTTAAAAGTAATTTATTCAAGGTTAATCTTTCTTTCTTCCACACACTTGGTACCTTTCTTCTGTGAAGCACACGGAACAGGTTCCCTCAGTCTACACTGAGGGAAGGCTACACAAAACTTAACTACCTCCAAAGATGGTATTAGGCTATCAGCGAGGCATGGCAGGGATTACTCACACCAAGGACTTTGTTACAGTTTTGCCACGCAATTATGCTGTCAAGAAAAAATTAATTAACCTTTTTTCAGCACAAAACACATACTACCATTACATTTGCTAGAACAGCCAGCAACACTACTAGAGTTTTTATCAGGTTTTAGTATCAATAACAATTAACAGTGTATTGTTTAGCACTAAATATTCATACTGAATGTTGTTGCACAGTAGTTTAGTATTATAAAAGATTGATTGCTGAACAATACATTTGCCAGGTTTTTATATAATACCAAGTTGTCAAAACGTGTGAGGACCTCAAAAGCAGAAACTCCAAAAAGGATCCAGAAATTTCCTGAATTCTGTTTTCAGAATTTGCCCCTTCAGACAGCAGCAGATATTTCAAGAGATAGTAGATAAACGTGGTTGTCTAAAATCTAATTTTATATATAAATACACTCTTTTATGTTGCACTTTGATAGAAAAAAACTTTACTACTTTCTAAAATGGGATCTGCACAGCCATATAAAATGCTACTGCCATCTAAACTTCATTTACTTCCTGTTTCTTTTAGGATTAAAAAAAAGACAGAAATTTCTTAGTTTAAAACTTTGTTAAAAGGCTAAAAAGAAAGCTGAAACCCATTCACGTAACATATATGCTTATTCAGTATGCAGGCTAAACAACTTGCCTAGAGGAAAGTAACGAGGTGTGCCAGCATATATCTTTCCAAGCAGTGTCAACTTCAGACAAAGTGCTTGCATTCTGTCAGCAGGGCTCAGAGATACACTATCGCTCAATTCTGAAAGTGGAAAGAAAACAGGGAGAACTTGAGAAAATACTATTGTCAATACAAAATCAGCACATGGAAGTGAAAATACAACTTTTTCGAGCGTATATTCACAGATGTTTACATTTCATTGAAGTTCCATGCAAATCTACTTAAAACACAACCAAACAAAAACACATCCCCAAACCCCACAACAAACTCACTACCACATAGCTTTTCCTTCAAAACCCTGTCGATGTTGTTTGCACAAAGGCAAACTCGAGTCCAAAATCCAAGGGGAAAAAAAACACAAAACAACCAAACAGGAAGAGAGAGTGAATTACTAACTCATGGTCACAGCTGAGTGGCCAAGTTTGCAGAGCTGTGCCCACTACTCTGTTCCTCTATAAATGGACAGAAACCGTACACTTCCACTTCTGTCAACATTATGCATGCAGAATTCTCTGAGGATTTTTTAATTTTTGTCATTATAAATTTATTTACATTTTAACATTTAATTTACACTTAACATTTTTATTACAATTTCTTAACAGTGAAATCTTCAGACAGAATTTCACATATATTCTGAAGTTCACATATAATGGCATCATGGGATGAAACAACTTTTGAAATGTTATCTGCAATGTGATTATTCAAGACTTATGCACAGCATACTCGAACACATATGTAAAAATATCACTTTTCTGTCCTTTAGGCACAAAACCCAAAGGTAATAATGTTAATTAATTACTAGTTAACTACACTAAAGAAATATATTACAGAATAGTCCAAAAAAGATGCATCTCACTTGGACAGCATAACAGCAGCAGCACACTCAGTTTTAAAAGCTATAACTGTACCAGTTTACTATAGTTCTAGTTTGTACCACTCCTAGTCCACTAAGACCTACCTTTTTCAATGATTTCTTGCCAGAGAGTCTGCACCAAGATAGGGTCAGAATGACCTGCACAATGTATAATTGCAAGCTTGCACTCCGAGAGCTTAAAAGGGTCAGCAAATTCTCCATAAAGCTGAAAGAAAAATTACCAGGCTTTATATTTCTTTTGGGTTAAAAAAGAAATTCTAAAAGTCAGCTGTTCCTTGTGTGGTAGACATTCGATTAGCTGAAGTGCAACTTAAGTAATTGTTGTCAATCACTAATTTTTTTTGCTATATTTAGTTTCACTTCTTAGGCACAATCCCAAATTTTATATGAAGTTAAAATTCAAACTGTTAAATTTTCAACAATTTTATCAACAAACAAAGAGACTTAATAAAGAAGATGAACATGTAAAAGAAATCAAGGTACTGAAGACTGAAAGACTATCGAAGTACAGAAAACGACAGTGTAGGGTAACAGACATTCTGAAACCAGGAATGTTAAACTGTCTATGACTTTTCCTATTCAGCACAGGATCAGTCTTTGCAAAACACTTTTTCCCCCAAAAATTTTATAAACTGAATTTTAACACAGGGAAATTTCAATTACCTTGGTTATATCCATCAGCTCAGCATCAAGTTGGGAGATTGCGTCTTGTACTGAAGAATGATGGGAATACTGACGCTGTAATGTTTCTTGTATTTGAAGCTGGATCCCTGCAACCTTGTTTAAAATGGAAAATACAGTATTTCAAGTCTGAAGGAATTTAATCAGAGTTTAAGAATACACCCAGAATAAACTTTAACTTATTTAAATGCGGAAATGTTACTGCCTTACACCACTGAATCTATTATCATATCATTATTATCAATCAACTGCATAACTTTGCCATATCAGGAAGACAGTACAGAAATCAGAACTGGTAATAAAAATGTCATGTGCCAATGAGACAAAGTGAAATAAAGCATTTATGGTGTAGCTTAATTTTTTTCCTTACTTCCATTTTCTCTTCTAGTTCATGTAGGAATTCACCATCTGCAGCTATAGAGGATATGGCCGTGGAACTTTTGGCACTCAAAATGGCACGTGCAATGTATTCAAGACGCTGCTGAAGAGAAATTTCTGTGCTGCAAAACAAATATTTCAAACAGGATGGGTACTTTATATAATTATTTGAGGATTAGTTACATTTTAACTTGACCTTGGGAATTAGCATGTGGCTTTTCCTGATTTTACTAAATTGTGCAGGATATGATCCATCCATGTAACCCCACCTTTGTCGCAGGCTCAGTTCTAATGTATTTCTTAACTCACTGCTCCAGTTAAACTATTGCATTATAAAAATCTGTGTAAGAAATGACCACTTAATATACGGTACTTACAACACGAAATACATTGCAAACTCATGTATAATACATAAAATAAACGTTACCATTTCTTTCCAATAACTGTCTGGATTCAAAACTAATATATTCTATTAATTTTTTTTAGAAAACCTCCTTGGGCATTGGCATTTTCTTGTCCTTGGCCTTTTCTTAAGATACCTACACATAAGGTCTTGATTTTAGTTTGTTTGTTTGATTTTTACCTAGTTACCTCAGTGTATGCAATAGATGGCACATAATCCATACCTGTGCAGGTCAGCCAACTTAGCCAAGACTCTGGCAGCATTACTAAAATTCCTGTTCTTCTCAAAGTATCTCCACAGTAAATCCATATAGCGAACTTTGTTTTGGTCAATCTTGGTCATCCGCACCAGGTAAGGTTCCAAGAAGGGGGCAGTAACCTGCAGAAATCATAAAGAGAACATTTATACTCTTGCTCTTCCTTGTTTCTTTAAAGCACTCGCATTGTTACAATTAACTCTTCTAGTTTGCTGTCAGTAGATGAGCTCACCTGTAACAGTTTGTCCGCCAAGTCAGCTTGTATCAACCAGTTGTAAAGCGCAATACTGAAGAGTTCATCTGTTGAACGCTGAGCCAGCTTTAGCATTTGTTCGAACTAAGGAGGAAAAGGCCAAAGCTGTTATTCCACATGTAGTTACATTACATCAAACACTGAATTCCTATGCGACAATACTTCGGTACATGTTATTCGTGTGTCATCATTTCTACAGATTCTCTAGATATAGAAGCCAATTCACGTCAAATCTTCACTTTGAACGAATCCATAATTTTATTAGAACAATAAATTCTATACCCCTTCAAATCACACTATTTTCTGGAGTGCAGCCATGACTTTTTTTGTGAGTTTCTTACATGGTGCCCTGCTTCTTCATTGCTTAGCATGTTGGGGTCAGATGACAGCACTGGAGGACCTGGCTTTTTGGGTACACTGGGAGACTGAGGAGCAGCTTTACTCTGATTCACTAACTCTTGAAGGGTGTCAGTGATACACTTGTAGCTGTTCAATCTGTAAACAGAGCAAAAGAAAAGTCTCATAATTTTCATTGCAACTGTCTATGAAAGATTATTCTCAAGTGTTGTTATTGTATGACTTTGTAGACAGTTACTAAAACTGAAAAATGTCATAGATCATTTTAAGATAGTTGTCACAATCTAGTTTATTCTCATTTATATTGCTAACAAATATTTCTATAATGTTCAGATCACAATGTTTTCTGCATCTATCATTTTAAGTGTTGTTCCTTATTAAGCTGGTGCCATATTAATAACAATCAAGGAGAGCATACTGGATAAAAACATTTCTGTTGTGTCCTTACCATAAAATGCTTGTTTGTTATTACCCTACACAACTTCCCTAAAAGAGCTACTCTTCCAGTCACTTGAAATAAAGCACCCCATATAATGATAACAAATTATCCTGAAAACTTGCCTCTCTTGAAAAGCCTGGAGTCCAACAACATCCTCTTCTGGTTCTTCATTTTTATAGAAATGAAGGCCCAGACCCTGGGGATCTTTTTTCTCAGCAGCTGTAAGACAGAGTTCTACTACTCCCTCATAGAAACGCACTAGGAAAAAATCAAAACAAATATTACTGTTCAATATTGTAGTAAATCTACAACAAAATGGTAACATCAACTACTTTTGATTTAGCAAGTAAGAAAAAATAAACATTATTCACTCTATTCTGTATCATATAGAGGTTTACACCTGTACCCAAGCTGTGTGACTTACATGCAAGTTTGAACTTGGATATGAAGTTACATCAGAATGTCCTGCACAATGTGTAACACTGTACAGAGGCTGTACAGTTGACTGTTACAACAGTTACATCTATATGTAAATTACTAGCTTCTACTGCACTGAACAGGGTACGGAACCATCTTTCCAACAGCTTATTTGGTATAAAACCTTACCTGAAACCACATATAGCCCAAGAATTTTCCTAAAAATATTATAACCACATATATGAAACAAATGGACACTGCAATATTAAATAAGCTCATGGGAATATTTTAATATAGAAATGGGTTTTTTGGTTGGTTGGTGGACTCTAGAAAGGCTTTAAAAGAACAGGTTGGCACAGTTTAATTCTAAGGGTTATTAACTAACTGCTTATGGTAAAAGGAGTTGAAAGTTGGTAACAAAACAAACAGAAAAGAAGATGCATGAAAGGACACTACAGAAACTATTTGACAGAACATGATCAGTAACTGGCTCTTACCCTGCCTATATTGTGCACAAACATTAGCAAGGTCTACTTGATTGCTGATCTTCTGGTACTCTTTCAGTGACTCTCTCAGCATCTTCTCTTTTTCCATTTTGCTCTGAGCCTGTCGAGAGCGCTGAAGAAGTTCATTTGCCTAGAGACAAATCGTGGGAAAATGGAAATTATTCACAAGGGCACATCATGAATATTGGATATATATCCAAATGGATACTGTCAATGAGTTATTATTCCAAACTTCAAAGCTGAAACAGTAGAAATATCATCCTCTCAAAAGCACTCTCTGGTCACTAAGTTTCCAGCAGAAAGACTACAACAGCAGTAGAGAGAAGGGCTGAAGACTTAACCAAGCGGTTCCCCATTCTCCTCTCACTGGTTCCTTATTTCAAATTTATTCGAAAACCTTCAAAGACCAAAAATCTTAAACACAATTATCTCTTACAAATTCCATTAAACTAAACACAATTATCTCTTACAAGTTCCACTATGCAACAGACAAAACCCAAGACCCTATGCTGAAGAAAACCTGAAATAAGAATACATTTTATCAACATAAGACAGATACACATCAGATTAAAAGTAGAGATCATATGAACATTATAAATAACTGCAAATGCTTCAAATAATTTTCATGTAATGTTCAGCATTAATCAACTGAAAGACACAAACATGCCCATGACTTCTTGCCTTCATTGTTTTTTGTGCTTCTGAAACTACTTGAGCATAATGACTTACAAGCTGTCCATCTTACCTCGTGTGAACATGTTCTGAAGTTGTGTTTTGGTGCTGTAAAATCTGAAAGTGCACTCACCTTGGAACAAACAGCATCATCAGTGCTATAAAGAAGAGGACAGATATCTTGCAAATGGGCAATGATGCCATCCACAGCAGCATTATCTCTGATGTAACAGTTTATGAGAGAAGCAATGAGTGCTCCAGTCAACTCTCTGTCTCTAATCACCAAGTCTTTAAAAGCAGTAATCTTTAGCTGTTCTTGAAGTTCCTGAAGATAGACAAAATATCATCAGTTTACCAAATTTTTTACTTTTTCTGTTGTTACAGCAGTAAAATTAATTGTTTCCAGTAATTAAAAACATACAGAACTCCAATGACTGAAGTGCACACCACAGAAATATATTATTTAAAACACACATTATATAGCAAAATGGAAAGAATAATGAAAGCACTAGATCCCTGGATGCCAAAGGACTCCTCTTAGCAGACTTCCTCTGCCATCTTCACTATGTGTAACCTCTGTTTCAGATCTCTGCAAATAAGAATGGAACTAGTAGTTCCCCTTACTTCATAGGGCACTGTCAGAATGCACACCCTACAAAATGAGTACATCGTAGGTTTAAAGAATGAAAGCCATTTTATTGTCATAGATTAAAAAAATGACAGATGCAATAAAAGGAGGATTTTGAAAAATTCAAGGTCTGCACTCTTTATGTTTTTAAAAATAAATTATTTGAAGGTTATTACTTTTTTAATTTAATAGGAATATTTGCTCACATAGAGTTGCTAGTAGTGTCTATGTAGCGTCTATAGATGATCGCTAACAGCATAATAACATTAAAAAACCTCTAAATCTACTGAAGACAGAGGAAAATTGTTACAGTTATTTAACTCCTTGTCCAGCACAAGATAAAAGCTGCCCAAAGCTCCCCAATGTAACAGTGCGAAGAATAACAGCTTCTGTGCACCTGTGAGATTTTAAAACTATTATTTTTATGGAAAAAGAATTCAACTTCTCAAATAGTCTATTTTCCTATCAAGTCCTAGGACAGAATGCCTAGTATTCTAATTAATAGATTTTTCAAGGGTAGGACACAAATTTGACATTAGCAAAGGGTGCACAGCAGTAGCACCCATAGTTCTGCAAGTTTGCTTCTTTACAAACCAGGAGAGGCTGAAAGAACTGGCATTTTTTAGCCTGGAGGTTCAAGGGACAGTATGTGGCATCTTACTAATATTTTTGTGAAGGTGTAAAGAAGTCAGAGCCAGACTTTTCTCAGTACTGCTCAGTAAATGGGACACTGCACAATGGTCAAAAGCTGAAGCGAAGCTAATTATACTTTAATATAAATCCTTTTTACTCTAAAGGTGGTTCAACACCGCAAGAAGTTGCCCCAAGACACTGTGGAGTTTCCACCTTTTGAGATATAAAAATCCATACTGGACACAGTCCTAGGCAACCTGCTCTAGTTCACCATGCATTGAGGGTCAACTAGATTACTCCTCCCTAGCTGCAGAGGGGGTAGACAATTTCCAGTGATTCCTTCCAACTTCAGCTGTTCTGTGGTACATTCTGGAACCCTACCTAAACAGAAGTGCAAAGACTCTACTACCCTATTGCTCTCCAACTTCCACCAAGACTAAGGCAAAGAGAGAATTCCACTTGGCTGGAAAACATTAGTCTACCCTTTTCAGCATATTTTCCAGAATGTGCTTAAGGTGAAAACACAGTAGTTTATACAACCAGAC